CATTCGGGGGTGGATGACTTCACGTAGTATCATAACAGTTGAATATTGTAAAGAAAGTAAACACAACCATCATATATATAACAAAAATTACATTGTTTGTGTATAATACATGTTTCAAAAGAATATTAGAAATATGATGATTTAAAATGTTTTGATAATAGACGCTTTAGCGTTTCATTCTCCAAAAGCTGATGGTTACATGTATTACCGATTCCCTGAAAAATACAAGTAGTTTTGAAAAAGTGTCAACAATTAAGTTGGTGAGTTCATAAGTGTTTTTGTACTGAGATTTGTATGTCTTTTAGTAAAAATAAATGAATATGTTTTCCAGAAAATCCAATATTTCCTTTCCATAGCTTGAAAAAGTTCCAAAGGCTGGAGTGCAATAGTATCTTTCGTGCTTAAATGATGAAAGTGAATTTATACTCAAAATATGTATTTACTGAATGCATTCAAGAGTCTAATATATCAAACTTATTTAATACTTCCGTGCGAGTTTTATAACCATGCAATTGACTCAGACTGCCTGTAACAACGTTCTTCAGGCGTTGCAATGTTATGATGTTTGTCACCCAGACCTGCGGTCTAACCGTGGCTAACAGTTTAGGTGCAGGATTGTCAATCTTGTATAGATCTATACACAAATATCACGCTCTCCCTCCAAGAGATTATGGTTTATAATACAGAGCTTGAAATGCGTACTTGAGAGTACGTTAAAGTTGAATATCTTACAACACTTGGTATCAATATATTTATGAAAGAAAAATCCATATTTCATGTAGATGAAAGTATTTCATTTTCACAATGTTTATGTAAAGATGAAATGAATAACTTGTAAACTAAACCCATTATAGTTTTTCCGAAAATGTGTACCATTTTGTGATAAAAACTCGATGTAATACTAACTTTGTATATAGTTTATATGTAGATATCGAACTTGTTTAATTTTTATGAAATGTAGGTGGTGTATTTAAATCTGTATAAAACGATGAGTTTTTCTCGTATTACACTTGTATTCCCCCCCCCCCCCCCCCTAAAATATGAAAAGGCGTGAAAAGAAAGTGGGGGTATGAACTCACTTGTTTGGTTTGAAGATAGTGAGACTAGAATTTAGCAGAACTTCGACTGCGGAAAGCTGCGTCTTTGGGTTTCTCGGTAGCGTGAAACTTCCGGCGGGGCTCAGGTATGGAATCGAGGGTTTCGGGATAGCTCCTGGAGCTCAAGAGAGTGTGAAAGTGAGAGAGGAGTTGAGAATGTGTGCTAAAAACCCGAAGCTCAGGCACTCTATTTATAGTGCTGGAGCACCCCCGTACGTTGGGCGTACTCCTTGGGTATGTTGGGCGTACTCCGAAGTCGTCAGCGCTTACAAATCAAGCCTAGCTAGCCTGCTAGCCGATGGGAAGGGACTCTACGCCTGAGTACGCTGGGCGTAACCCAATTTATGTTGGGTGTAAATTGGATTTCCAACTTCTAAATTCCGTAACTTTTGCGTACGAGCTCCGATTTTCGCGTTCTTTATATCCACGCGTAGGTGAGACTGTACTCTACAACTTTCATTTAGACTCCGTCGGCTAGTTTTGAATTTATTTTTAATGGTATATTTTTAGTAGGTCGGGACTGCTAAAGTTTGTTAAAAATCCAAAACTTCTCTATCCGATGTCCTCCAAATCCATTTAGACAACCGAAGCCTTAAAGGAAGACAAGCACCCCCAAATCCATGACCTCCACTTAATCCCGAAGCCCATTTGCATGAGAACCGAGTCCAGAAACCCCCAGTTTATAGAGTCAAATGCTTTGTCGAAGTCTACTTTAAATAACAATAATTCCTTCTTTGTCTTCTTAGCCCATGAGCAGACTTCATTGATGATTAATGGACCATCCAAGATATTCCTACCTTCAACGTATGTTGATTGTGATTCACTGATCACTCCTCCAATTATAGATTTCATTCTGGTGGCAAGGACTTTCGCTATTATCTTATAGAGAGCTCCTACTAGATTGATGGGACTGTAGTTGCATAGCAGAGTTGGGTTATTCGTCTTTGCCACTAATGTGATAAAAGAAGAATTGCACCCTCGGGCAAGAGTTCCGTAAGCTTCAAAGTGACGTATAACCTTCATCACATCTTCACTAATGAGAGACCAAGATTTCTTTATAAATTTAAATGTGAATCCGTCAGGTCTGGGGGCTCGATCACCACCACATGCCCATACCGCAACTTTTACTTCATCCAGTGAAATAGTAGACTCAATGTGCACAACACTCCCAGGAGGCAGAGTCCGAAATGATGGGCTGATCAGTTTGGGTCTGTTAGGCCAATTTTCACAAAACTTTATTTTAAAGAATCTAAAAGCTTCAGCTTTTATCTCCTCCGCATTCGTGGACCACCTGCCATTTATGTCTAAGCCACTTATGCGGTTCTTCCTGGATTTGCAGTTAACATATTCGTGGAAGAATTTAGACTTCTCATCATCGTCAATGCACCACTTGATTCGAGATTTCTGTTTTAAGTCTAGAACCCTCTTTCTCTCGTACTCCAATATTTTTTGTACACCTTCATTCCTTTCACTGAGTTCAAATTCACTCAATGATCTTACTTCTGCCTCAGCCTCTATACTAGCAGTTCGTGATTTGAGTGTCTCAATTTCCTGGTTTTCTATCTTGTATTTTTCATTTCTCCATCTTCTTAAGGCTTGTTTTAGGAATTTGAATTTTGCCAGTAGTTGTCTATCCGCCATTCCATAACCCCTGAAAGTGCTCCAAGGCGTGTGTACTACATCTTCAATACCATCCATGAGTAACCAAGAGTTAAAAAATTTTAAAGGAGGCGGGCCAAACTTCACCACCGCATTGGAAGATAGAGAGACCGAAGAGTGGTCAGAGAGCTCTCTTGGATGGGCAATCATAGAAGCATTAGGGTTATTTTCTAGGAACTTAGCACAGGCTAAAAACCTGTCTAATTTGCTGAGCTTTGCCCCATTACGCCAAAGTATGTGAATTTCGAGCCACCCATATTGAAGTCATGAAGTTCGGTTTCTATTATCAATTTGTTGAAGTCTGTTGCAGTTTTTAAGCAGAAATGGGAATTGATTCTCTCATCTCTTCTACGAACCACATTGAAGTCCCTAAAAAGGAGCCATGAACCCGCTTTGGTTTGTATCAAGCTATTTAGTTGCGTCCATAGGATAGCTTTATCCGTTGCCGATTGAGGACCATAAATGTTAGCTAATATGGTATATCCTTGTATGCCAACCCATTCACCAACAATTATCAAGTAATACCTCGATTTTAAGACCTCCACTTTTTTGAAAAAGTTTGTATCCCAAATACAGAGCAGACCACCAGATCTTCCATGTGCATCTACACCTACGTAGTCAAAGTCGTTGGAGTCCCAACACCCACAGATGTTGATACATTTAGAGCCAGACATCCAAGTTTCTTGGATTCCGACAAAATTAAATTTCAGTGTTTCTTTAAGCCTCCTTACCCAGCTAGTTTTCGCATCTTCACCTATCCCCTTATGTTTAAGCTTAAACAATTCATTGTATACCGTGTGACGCTCCGATTTCACCTATAATTTGCGCCAAGATCGGGTTATCGGCCTCAATTTCTATCTGTTTGTACTGTGTTTGTCCAACTACCTGCTGGCTCTGATTAATGAAGTTTATTTTTGCCGTTCAAAGAAAAGAAAAAAAAAAAAAAGAAGAAGCTTCATCTATAAATTGCCTATGATTGTTCGTTGTCAATCGATTAGTGAATTGGATTTCATTCCATAAATAAATTAAGTCAAAATTTCACTTCAATCAATTTAATTTCGACAGCCATAATTAATATCACGACTCTCTAATTCACAATTTAAATACCTAGGAGGCATTTCCGTTTTCCACACATTCCCAACTCATTCTTTCATCGATCACTCCGCCAACATTCATATTGCTCCAGGTTATATTTCTTTCTAATTACCAATTTCATCATCGCATCTTATGTATTTTATCGTTAATTTGCAATAAATAGTTATGGGTGTCACTAAAATTGTCGAAATATTTGGGGATAGTTCGGTAGAAGCTTATAGCTTTTAAGAAAAAAATTAAAAAAAAAAAAAAAAAAAAAACTTTGCTAGAGAGTAAGATAATTTAGCTTTTTGATTAAATAAAAAACTACAGATCCAAAAATTACTTCAAGTAATGTTTAACAAAAAAAAATATTTTAAATTTTAATGAATTGACTTAAATGTCTTTTAAATGAATAAACCATATTTGTAATTATGGTAATTATTTTATACGATAAATATAAATATATTTTAACAATTATAATATATTAATTTGAAATAAAATGTATTTTATACAATTAAATATAAATATAAATTAACATTTGTCATTTCTTTATTAAAACCATATTAATGGATTTTAAATTTATTAACTTTCATCTAACAAATAAACAAATATTTATTATATGGTTTTATAAACAAATAGTAACATCCGATAATATTGTTTTTTTTAAGACATTGAAACACTTGTAATATATATATATATATATATATATATATATATATATATATATATATATATATATATATATATATATATATAAAAATAGTCCAAATTCTTAAAAATTTGTAAAGTTTTATTTATTTTATTTGTACAAAAAAATCATCATTTACTAATATGTATAAAAAAGTTTTAACCAATTGAGAGACTTAACAAATGCACTTGAAATTAAAATTTGATGGTTTTTAACTTTTTATAATTACAGTGATAAATTAATTTATTATAGTTGTATTTAAATTTTAGTTTATATCCATATGCCCTTTTATGTATTTATATATATTTTAAAAGCTTCCATTACTTCTCCCGAACACTTTGTACCTCCAACTTCTAACTTTCCGCTTCCATCGATTTTTACCGAACATGCCCTTGATGATTAAGTGTTGATTTAACATGTTAAAGCTTGATTTTTTTTTTCCCTAATGGTTGTAATTGGAATCGAATTTCTACAAAAAAATGAGTGAAGTTACTGAAGTCAAGTCCTTGATTTCACAATCATCATCTTCAAACCTTCCAGATTTCAAAAGATCCGTGAAGCTCAAGTATGTAAAATTAGGGTATCATTATCTAATAACCCATGGGATGTATATATTCTTATCTCCTCTTGTGATTGTTCTCGCTCCTCAATTATCGACATTTTCTCGAAAAAATGTTTACGTTCTTTGGGATCATTTCCGATTCAATCTCATATCAATCGTCATATGTTCAACCCTTTTAGTCTTTCTATCAACTCTCTACTTCTTAACTCGTCCTCGCCCAGTTTACCTCGTAAACTTCTCATGTTACAAACCTAAAGAAGATCTAAAATGCACAACACAAAAGTTCTTGCAATTTTTAACATCAACAGGAAAGTTCACAGAAAAAAGTCTCGAGTTTCAAAAATATATTATAGAAAGATCCGGTCTTGGTGAATCAACTCACCTCCCTAAAGCTATTCTTCGTATCCCACCAAATCCATGCATGGAGGAAGCAAGAAACGAAGCAGAACTTGTAATGTTTGGCGCCATTGATGAACTCTTAGCAAAAACAGGTGTCAACCCAAAAGACATTGGGATTTTGGTAGTTAATTGTAGTCTATTCAATCCTACCCCATCTTTAACTTCAATGATTGTCAACCATTACAACTTTCGAGGCAACATATTGAGTTATAACCTCGGTGGAATGGGTTGTTCAGCTGGCTTAATCGCCATTGATTTGGCAAAAGATCTTCTCCACGTAAACCCTAATTCATACGCATTAGTCATGAGCATGGAAAACATCACATTAAATTGGTATGGTGGAAATGAAAGATCAATGCTTGTATCAAACTGTTTATTCCGTGTGGGAGGTGTTGCAATTCTCTTATCTAACAAATCATCCGACAAAAAAAGATCAAAATATCAACTTGTACACATAGTAAGAACACACAAAGGCATAGATGACAAATGTTTTTCATGTGTGACACAATTAGAGGACCCAGTTGGGAATGTTGGAGTTTCATTATCAAAAGATTTAATGGGAGTTGCGGGTGATGCTTTAGAAACCAATATTACAACATTAGGTCCTTTAGTGTTACCAATGTCAGAACAATTACTCTTTTTTGCAACTTTGGTAGGAAAAAAGGTTTTGAGGATGAAGATTAAACCGTATATTCCTGATTTTAAACTTGCGTTTGAGCATTTTTGTATTCATGCGGGTGGAAGAGCTGTTCTTGATGAAATAGAGAAGAATTTGCAGCTTTCTGATTGGCATATGGAGCCATCAAGAATGACACTTAATAGATTCGGGAATACTTCAAGTAGTTCACCTTGGTATGAATTAGCTTATTCAGAAGCTAAAGGAAGGATTAAGAAAGGCGATAGGGCATGGCAGATTGCGTTTGGATCGGGATTTAAGTGTAATAGTTCGGTTTGGAAGGCTTTGAAGACTATTAATCCTGCAGAAGAAATGAATCGGAATCCTTGGACCTAGAAATTAATTGTAATTGGTATACTTAATGTAATGATCAAATACTAGAAAATAAGTTCATTCAAACAATGGATGTATTTGGACTTACTTAAAGTCACATTAATAAAACGTCATAATTTTCACGTAGCTACCATCACATGTGCATTGTTATTTGGCCAAACTACGTCTTCTTTTGGGCCAATCATAGTTCGCATGAATAGTCCCATACAAACATCTATTAAATTTGATAAACCAATGTACGTAAAAGAGGTTGCTTTGGCAACACTTTGTTTAGACTAATTTAACTAAAATAATAGACATGACATTGTAATAAAATATTTCCAAAGATTACCTATAGTGTCCTACATGCCTATGAAAAATGTCAAATTCAACGAGTTCCTAAAGTTACATAAGTTTATTCAGTACACATCTCATTGAATTTGGTCAGGACTTGATTTTTACTCCATAATAGTTATATATTATATAATTATTCATAAATCAAGACTCAAAATGATTATCTCATAAATAATGGTCATAATTGACCATGAGAAAAAAAAATACATAAAATGCATAATCATTTATTACATGAACATTATTATTTTGCCAAACTACATTGTCCACATAGATAATTCGCTCGAGATATAACCAAAATGTCATTATTTGGCCAAACTATGCCAACCTTTGGGTTGAATACATTCTGCATAAATAATTACGTACGATACATTAATGTATGTTTTGAGCAAATTGATTAATATAGAAGGTTACTTGTGGTAGCATTATGATACTAATCAATTAATCAGAAAAAAAATCTACAAACCAAATGATTCAAATTGAATCAAAATATAATGATTAGTATTAACCTAATGAAAAAAAAATCTTCAATTAAAGGGAAAATGACTTAGAAGGGTAATAAACTATTAATTTGTTTACATATAGTCCCTTTCCTTTTTTTTTAACACCATCTATCCAACTTGTTGAACCTGTACACATAATACCCTTACGACCTGCTATCATAGGTAAAAGGGTAATTTGTGAATAGTTTGAATAGTTGAACAGTATATAGTGTACAAAAAGAAAAGGACTAAATGTGAACAAAAAAGAACATCTATTACTACCTCCAATCACATCTCCATCACTACCACCTCTACCTCCACCATCACCACCGCCACTGCCACGACCTCCACTATTACCACCATCTTCACTAACTCCAACATCGCCACCGCCACCACCCCCCACCTCCACCACTACCTCCATCAGCGTTACCACCTCCACCTTTGCATTCGTCGCCTCCAGTGCCACCACCACTGCCTTTGTCACCACCAGCTCCATTACTGCCACCTCCACTACCTCTACCGCCACCACCACCACAGCCATCACCTACACCGCTGTTACCACCGCCACCTCTACCTTCTCCATCGCCATCACCATTAACGTTTGTGACATAGGAAAAGACAAGGGTAGCGGTGGTGCGGAGGCAATGATAAAGGTGGTGGCGGTGGTGGTAAAAGTGGAGGTCAACAAAGATTGA